TCAGTTAGTTCAAGGAAAGTTTGAGGTATTCACCTTCTGAGTTTCTCACTTCAGTGAATGCTAACACATTGATGAGGGTCTCCTTTACCCTCTGACATACAGGATGTTTTTGCAATGGGCCTCCTCTCTTGTCACCCAAGAGACAGCAATATGTAGGATAGCCCCACTCATGCTCCCTGTGTTTCTACCTGGAAGGTTCCCTATTGGTGTTTTATAATTCATACTCCTTAGAAGAATTTATCCCTCATGTTATAGTGTGAGTTCTATTTAGAGGGATTGTTCAAATTATTCAGTATAGAATAACCACTTATCTGAGAAAACTGTAGGAAAATAATTTTGTGTCATTTGTTAAGGCAAATAATGGGGAGCTGGAATGTCAGAAAAAGTATTAAGGGAGTCACTTAAGGATTGTTGAAAAATATGTGTACACTTATGATCTGCCATTATTCCCTTGGTCACCTGAATAAAATATTCACTTTTTTCTTTTATCTTTTTAAAAAACAGCTTTATTGTAGTATAATTAATTTACATCTTGTAAAATTTGCCCATTGTTAAGTGTACAGTTTGCTCAGTTTTAGTTTATACCATGATGCAATCATCACCATATTCGTTTTTAAGAAGTTTGTTTCCAGAATTGTTTTTCTTTTTCTTTTTATTTATTTATTTTGTGGCTAAGTCTTATACTTCTTCTTAGGAAAACATAACACTAATTTAGTGTTATAGTGTTCTACAGAGAATATCCATATTTCATCACAGTGTTAAGAGCTCTTAGTTTCACAACTGCATGAGCCCACTTTGAAGTGACCAATTTTTCCAATTTTGATTAGAATTTATATTTATTCTCAATCATCTTTCACTATCTCCAACTTAATCACAATTTTTCTTTAGAATTTTCTCCTCCTATTCTGGTAAATATTGACACCCCCCCCCCTTTGTCTGAACTCTGTAGCAAGACAGACTTCAGAGATTAATTGTCTATAATTCTAAGAAGCAGCAATTAGGCCCTCTTCTATTCCCCAAACTCTTTGTCATACTACTTGAGATTCTTTACTACAGTGCCTAAAACCCGACTATTAGAAATACTTACTTATTGAATATGCAGTGTACATTAGCTGAAGTATTGTATCAATGTTAAAACTTCTGAATTTTGTAATTTACTGCTATGATTATGAGAATATCTGGTTCTCAGGAGATACTTACAGATGTATTTATGGGTAAGGATTATGATTCTTGCAACTTAATCTGAAGTGGTTCAGCAAAAATAACATTATTTACACACACACACACAATCATATGGATTAGGTTTGAGGAGAGGGAGACCAATCAAATATAGCAAAGTATTAATAATTAGTGAATCTAAGAGGAGAGTATATGATAAAAATGGGCAACTTTTTTGAAAATTTGGATTATTATAAAACAAAGTGAAAAAAGAAGAAAATATGTTTCTTTCATTCAGTGGTTCTCTGCCCCAGCCATACATTAGAATTACCTGAAAGTTTTAGAAACTGTAATTGCCTGGGCCCCACCTGCTAAGAGATTTTTATTTAATTGGTCTTGGGTGGGGTGTAGACATATGTATTTTTTTAAAGCCCCCTAGATGAAAAACTAAAGAAAAATAAAGCCCTCTAGATGAACCTAATGTGCAATACAGAGTTAAGAACACTTGCATTATAAAAAGTAATATATTTTAAACAAAAACAAAGGAAAAAAAGAAGTAATGTATTTTAAGGCTGGGGACCATGGCTCATGCTGAATTCCTAGCACTTTAAGAGGCCAAAGCAGGAGGATCATTTGTGCCTAGGAGGATGAACCTAGCATAAGCAACATAGCAAGACTTCATCTCTATAAAAAATAGAAAAATCAGTGGGGCATGGTGGTGTATGCTGCAGTCACAGCTACTTGAGAGGCTGAGGCAAGCGGATTAGTTTAAGCCCAAGAATTTGAGGTTGCAATGAGCTATGATGACCCTCCACCCTGAACACAGCTCTTATTGGTTGTCACTTATACCTTAGAAGTGAATTAAGTTTTAGTCCAATTATGTTTCCTCTCTATCACCATGCCTTCCTTTTTTCTTTTTAGGCTTCTATTATGCCTTTCAAAATATCAAGCAATGTTCCAGGCATAAAAATGTTCTGGCTCCTTACTACATTCTAATTAAAG